GAACTGGCGACTTGGTAGTACAACTTGAGTACGCGGAGTAGCTGGGGGGCTGGAAGATGAGAACTGGCGACTTTGTAGTAAAACTGTAGTACGCGGAGTAGCTGGGGAGCTGGAAGATGAGAAGTGGCGACTTGGTAGTACGACTTTAGTACGCGGAGTATCTGGGGAGTGGGAAGATGAGAACTGGTGACTTGGTAGTACAATGACTTGGTAGTACAACTTTAGTACGCGGAGTATCCGGGGAGCTGGAAGATGAGAACTGGCGACTTGGTAGTACAACTTGAGTACGCGGAGTATCTGGGGAGTTGGAAGATGAGAACTGGCGACTTGGTAGTAGAACTATAGTACGCGGAGCAATCTGTGGAGCTGGAAGATGAGAACTGGCGACTTTGTAGTACAACTTTAGCACGCTTCATTCCAGCTTGCTTTTTTCAGTGAGATTTCCTGGAGGCGTGCACGCTGCTTCTCCCCTTACCAGCAGCAACGTGTTCCACTCTGACTTCCTACGAGGTAGAGGCAAGTACAAGCTACTAGGAACAAATACATCGCTACTAGTAACAAGTGCCTTACTAGTAGTAACAAGAAGCTACTAGGAACAAGTGCATCGCTACTAGTAGTAACGAAGAGAAGTAAGGCCGCTGACGCTTCCATCGCCGACAATGCGGCGCTGCTGGGCGAGGAAAGAAGTACAGCAGACTCACACACGGACTCGACACACGAGACTGAACATGTGACCAAAGGTCCCATGTGGCAAAAACAGACACCCACACATACAGACACCCACGCACTGCCTCAACTTACACGAACACACACACATACACAGACTCATATACACACGGACACAGATACACACACAGAAACCCACGCACTACCTCAACTCACTCGACTTAACACTTCACACTGCACACTTAACAGATAAATCGCACTCTGATTTCCTACGTGATGAAAAATGCTTTCGGGCCACTCGTCGTCTAGTTTTTCTATAATAACGATGGCCTCCACTTTTCCGCTTTTCCGAAAGACTCCGACACCGCAGCTTTCGCGGGGGACGTCATGTCCCGGGAAAATCACTACAGAGTGATGGAACCTAAGTCTGCGCCGCAAGTGAGCGTCGCCTTGAACTTGTGGATGTAGTCCTCAACAGTTCGAAACCGATACGACAAGTCAAGCAGTGTGCCCAAAACACTGTGGTTCGTGAAGTGGGCCGCAAGTAATTCGTGGACAACGGTCGTCCTTCGAGCTTGTGAATCCGAATGATGAAGAGCCGGAACCACTTTATCCTATCCTGCAGCTCAAACTCTGTGGCTTCTTCTCTGGAGAGCCATTGCCAAGTACTAAAGTCGCGGTTGGGTCGGACACCACCGCTACCTGAGCTCAACACGAAATCAATCAGTAGGTACAGCCAGGGAATGTGGAGCAGTGGGGCAGCGGGGGACTGCATCGTGCTGGACCAAGACGAAATGCAATCCCATCCCTGGCCTACTAATTTGTGGGTGGTCGTTTGTGGCTTAGGAGGTAGGGTGGGCAAGGTCGGCCAAGCAAGGGTAGCGGAAAATCTGTTTGAGGCGGATCGTTGGCAACAACAGGTGTGTCCTTAGTGACAGCATCCTCGCTAACCTTGAGCATCGTGGCATGGATGTCATCACGCAAGGCTCTGGCTGCCTCTAGGTCCGCAACTGCTTTAATCCAAATCCGGTGTACATCGCCTGGATACAGCGTGCTCCACTGGGCGCCGTGGTCGGCACAGTCGTTGCCAGTGAAAGCCCAAAGATCGACCCAGTGGAGATTAGCTCTCCGCTGATGGCTGGCCTAACTTAATGACTTGGATTAAGGCAGGAGGCGCGGTTCGCGCTAAGGCGATCAATTCATGCCACAAGTCCTGGTCCTTACAGGAAACACCGCAGTTGACTGGGTCACGAATGGCTGCAGTAAGCGTGTCCACTACCTGGGCAGAGCGCATACCGCACTGCACTGATGGCTGCAAGAATTTCGGCCCTCCCACTGGTCTGCAGGCGGCCGGGGACCAATCCCTGTGCCACAGGCCACCATTTGTCAGCGTCTGACGGATCCGCGGCAATGAGGCTCCATCCTGCAACTCGGGTGAAGCAGCATGTGGGGTGGACACACGACCCATCTATGAAGAGGTCAACGGCTCGAAATGGGGCAGGATCGAACCAGCTGGTGAGGGCCGGTTGCTGCAACAACAATTGCTGGAGGGAGCGCACTGATTGTGGCAGACCAATCCACCCATGCGAGGTAAGACACTTGGGGAGTCCCCCTTCTAGAATCTTTGTCGTGAGCCAAGGATATGGTCGGGACCTATCGAAATGGCTGCATTCCCAAAATCGATGGAATTGGGAGTCTGGCTGTCCACAATACTTACAATTAAAAGGGTATGTGCATTCTGATTATGTGCTTGGGTGTCTGCCGTAAAGAAGGTGCCATTAAATACCTTGCGGAGCAGGCCAAGTTTGCTAGCCGCCAACTTGGACGTGTTTTCTAGGGTAAGAGGGACACTTATCCATTCCATGCCGTGGAAGGTTTTACGCTTACTCACGCACCCTTGCACAAAACTCTGCCAGCCATCCAAAAGTCGTTGATGAACTTCGGACTGGCTGCCATGCAGGAGGTCAAGTGGCTGCGCTTCATGGTCTAGGACCCAGCCATTGTTCAGCCACTTCCAGCCTATTGCGTGCAAACGTTCAAGGAGGATATGGCCTGGACCTGGTCTGGCTGGAAGCTCATTCCAATCGCTCAAGATCTGGTCAATAGGCAAAGGACCTGATCCGAATTACCATGACGTCTGAAGACCTGCACTGTTTGGACTAACAAGGAGCAGCCTGGGTCAGTCAAAGGGTGCTCTACCAACGACAGGTGGGCCATGGGGCTGACGCCAGGTGCATGAACCCGTAAATTTCGGCAAGCTCCAGTTCACAAGTTGCGAATGTGAGTGTCCTCGAGGCTGGCGGAAGCCCCCATGGTGTGGGCCTGTGGCCACCCCTTGACTCGCAGCGCATGCACTTTCTGTCGGTATGGCGCCGCTGAACGGGCAAGCGCTTCCCACACTCTTGGCATGGCCTGGAGGCGGCTCCTCAACATGTGGTTGGTGTTGCGGCGGCCATATTCCATATGTGCTCCAAGATCCCGAGCAGAGGCCTGCAACGGTTGGGCTTGTTGTCTGGCACACCTTCGCTCTCCAGCATCATTAGACCAGAAATACGTTTTGGCCCGATCAAGCTGAAGGTCCAACAATTCACAAAACCGCGTCATGTGGCCTAAGCCAATCAAAGGTCGGTGCACGATTTGCCCGGGAGGTTTCCCGTCACTTGTTAGGGAACGAATTGGCCTAAGTATGCTAGTGTTTCCCGAGCTCGGATTGAAGACCATGTACGGTACACTATCCTGGCTGGCTTTCCAAGCACCTGGGAGCTTCTGCAGGGCATGGATGTGGCCGGTCACTACTTGTTGGGGCCAGCAGGCGCGGCCTTGCTCAATGTCATCAAGCAGGCTCAAAACTGGCTGGACATGATTCCACGGGAGCATCAGCAGATCGTCCTTGGAAACTCCATCCGGTCCGATGGCGGCTGTTGCCTTTTTCTTGCCAACTGCATTCTGCCAAGCGGCGTACGAGATCGGATGGTATTGCATCTGCGGTGGGTTAGGGATGGCTATCTTAACGAAATCTATGATCGGTTCCCACCGACTATCGTCAGTGTTGGCATGGCGATCCCACCTCGCCATCCATTCAGTTTGGAAGGCCGCATAAATTTGGTCAAGATCAGTCAACGGGTGGGTTTGGGTCAGAGTGTCGCCTTCGTGCACTGGGGGCATATGCTGGACTGCTCTAGCTGAAAAGCATTAGCTGAATCTAGCATGAGCGCACACTCCTCACTGTCGATGGCTGCGATGGAAGCCACCGTATGGGCAAGAAGCATCTGGACAGGTTCCGGGTGCGGGGCTTGCAGATCCCGAAAAATCCGATTGGGGTCATCAAGTCGACTTTGTTTGGCATTGGTGGTCCGAGCGGCCGACAGCATTCGCTCAAGCTCTCGGACATCTTTCTGAAAGTCCACAACTAACAACCGGGTTAGCTCGCCGTCAGGCGGCTGTGGTGGCAAGCTCACCGGCAAGCCTAGGACATGCTTGGCCTTGTTGGCCCACCATTTCGCATTGGGTACATGATTGGGATGGTGCATCTGAGCCAAAGTTTGAAGACGTCTGAACTGTCTGATCCACTGCGTATGCAATGTGCTCTGACCATGAAATGTCGGGGTGAAACTTCCTGGTCGAGACGGTCGGAGCGGCGCATAATTTTCGGTTATCCAAGTTCGTTCACGAGTCGCCCCCCTACCGGTTTGGGAACCATGAATGTTGGATCCCTGCTGTCGGGCACCTGCTACCATTTAAAACTCGACAGAATTCCGAATTGCCTGGTACTTGTGCTCAGCAGTGCCCGCGGCGTATGTGCCACATGTGGTTTCGGATGGCGGGGCCGAAAGGAGAGATGAAGGGCACGTTCCCTGCCAATCCACCCTACGTGGTTTTTTCCAAATCGGGACTTTAACTGTCTGGACGTCAGGCTGCAAGACCACATAAACTATGGAGTGATTTGCGACCCAATCTGGTTCAACATGGACCTCGGTGACCAGCGGAGCGGGCTAGTTCGGGGCTTAGGAGGAGCAAGTCTTTGGTGTGTTTCTGTTGGATGGTGGGCTGAATCTCTTGGCCAAACTTGCGTTTAGCCAGGCATTGAGCTTCTTCCCATCCATGTTGCAAAAGAGTTTGAACCGCAGGCAAATCGTCCAAAAAATGGTTGAAGTCTCCTCCAATGAACCGTGGGCCAAATGCACTGGTTGCTAAGCGATCAACAAGATGGGAAAATGAGGTGATTGTTGGCCTCTCTAGTGGACACTCCACTGCTTTGAAATGCTTTACCATAAAAGGCCCCCCCTTGGATCCATCTCTGACCGAACTGGAAACCTGCTACATGGCATCTCTGCTGGCTAGAACCTCCGATGGCCCACTCGACTGTCTGGAATCCGCAATCTGCCGCAAACTCATTAGGGAGAGCGAAAGTAGCGAAACTGAGCTCATGGGGCCCACACGATTCAACCACTACTTGTTGGACAGCATTGGCTACATCGAGCGGCAACGACAATGTCGCCCCTTCATCAGTCACACTCAGGCAGAGTGGGAACCAATGACTGCGCGCTAACACCGGCACCATGAACAAATGGAGTGAACAATCGAGCTCATGCGCATGGAGGGACTGCAGAGCCCATGTGGCAATCTGTTGATCGATGTCCGTGAAGTCCTGAAGCTCGATGGGATCCGACACCTGGTGGCCTTGGCCTCGCACCAGCTGGACGTAAAACTGCATTTCATCTACCGCTAGCAGGGGGCCCTGGGCAAGCAGACCTTGGAACCGACTTTGGCCTTGGAGGGTCAAGATCGTGGATTGACATGCATGGACCTCTGGACATTTGGGAACCGAGTGAGTGGCTCCATTGGCAATGACATACCATGTAGACGGCGACAGCTTACTGTTCAACGGGAAAGGCGACCCTGTGAGGGTGGTGACGGCTACGCAAAGCTCGAAAACCTTTCCTCAGCTTGTGAGAGCTATTCGGCAGAAGCGTGATCGGATCAAACCCTCCCTCAACCCTGTGTGGTGGCAATTGGTTCATAGAACACGGCATTATCCACCTGCTCAGTGTTGACTGTTCTGTCTGCCCCAATCCCTCCCTTTCCTTTGCCCCGGATCGACATGCTATGGACGATGCTGGGACAGTTACCCTGGTGCATCTTCATTCTGGGGGGGTCCTGCAGGTCACCGCACTGAATCTCGTCTGGGCTAGTTTGAACCACAGGTTTGACTTGGGCAGGAGACCCTTCGCGTGGTCCTGGTCGAGTGGATGTGGTACCTGTACAACCCTTAGGTGGACAGACTTGGGAGGCATAAACCCTGCTCTTGAACCGCATCAACGGCTGGACCGGCATGAACCTCCAGCTGCTCCTGGGCGGAACGGATGTACCTTGGGTGCTTGGGCACTGACTTGTTGGCGAGAAACTCCAATCCTCCGGTGGGGGAGACAACTGAAATCCCAGCTCGTAAACAATCAGCCGTGTCAGCAATCTTCCTCTTCAAGGCTCCTCTCTGGACCTGAGCCCGCACTTGCATCACCTGTGGCTGTCATGAGCGTGGGCGCCTCATACTCAACCCGAACTTTGCAAAAATGGCTTCCTGGAACAACGCAGACTCTCTGGAGTGTGTGAATGGCTGCTGGAGTATCTTATCACGCGCAGCAAATGATTCAACCGCAAGCCGCAACAAGCCCTGTTCGGCTAGCGCATGATGTGTCGGAGCTCCAAACGCATTTCTGGTGATGCCATCTGGCCTAGTGCCCTGAGATCCAGGCGGAGGTGACGGTCTTGGGCTTGATGGATGTGTTGGGTTGGCACTAAATGCAACACGGGAACATTATTAGGATGGATGTGACGCATATTCGCAATCTCATGACCTCGAACCGTCGTCAAGCCCGGTGTTGGGATCAGGGCCCCATACAGACCTTTTTCCTCCAATCTCTTAGGCGCAAAGCCCCCAGCTCGACACCTGCATGCGCAGGCGCTCGGTCAACTGTGATCCCCAGTCTGCAGTGGTTTGGTCGGGTTCACTGCATTGCTTCCAATCCCTCCAGGCTGTTCGGCGAAAACCTCCAGCTCAAGCGCAGTCAATTGTAGGTGTTGGATATGGTCCGCAGGCCAATTGGCAAGCTTCGGCAGGAGATGGCGAAAGGAAGGCTTGAAGTCTAAGCTTGGGAAACTCTTCAACGGTGGCATCGGCACATATGGGTGTACGAGGATTGCCCACCACCGAGTTCTCTTTGCAGGCCAGAATTCATGCAAATGGCAGACCTGCTGTTGGAAGGAGTATCCGGTCAGCTGGCTAAACGTGTGCAGCGTACTTTGCACCCAGTCGGAGGTCATGGCTTCCTTAGTGCACTCTAAAATCATGGCGGCAGGCTGGAAAAGGTAGCAGGCATTGACCATACCCTCAAAGCTGCAAGCACGTGGATCCAATTGTTGTCTCTGGTCCCCCAATTCGGAGAAAGGCTGGCGTGAGAATCCCCCTGTCAAGATACAAAGCCTCTCCATCCCTCAATGACTGGAGTCTTTCGTGATCGCAGCCAGGTGGCATAGCGGGGGTTGATCTCCACATGGCACCGGACCTGGCAGTTGAGCAGATGGTACCCCGCAGTCATGACTGCATAGCCAGAGCAAACATCAACTATGTCGTTGGCATCTTCACTGTGGAGCAACTCGTGGAATTGCACTGCAGCTTCACTGGTGTCAATGTAGGTCAAGCCATGGTGGGTGACCTTGCTGGCCTGGATCAAAGAGAACCGATCGCCCTTCAAGCTAACTTTTGGCCGTGCAACATTGATGTACAATGGTATGCACCCTTCTGTTGATCATAAAACCAAGCTCGGCCAGACATGGAAACCAGCGAACCATCGGAACATGAAGTAAGCCATGGCTCAGGATCGATCTAAGCGGACTGCCCCCCCGAGTCATTGGCATGACCAGGTGAACCAGCCGGAGGTACTCGGGCCGACACCTAACGATGGCCTCCAACCTAAGAGCGCCTCAGTTAGACTGATGTTGATCTCACATCCCAAGACTCTTGCCTCAGGAGATTGTGGGAGTTACGCCTTGTCAAACTTGAGCTTCTCCGATAACAAGTCCAAGATGGAGGGCTGTGGGGTCTCATCCGCTATGCAGGAGAAGCATCACGCGGCAGGGTTTGCAGAGCTAGGCGGTACCCAAAGTAAGTGATGAACATCACCAGACCTTGCTCCATGCGGCTACGATGTTACAGCAGTATTTGGCCTGCTCAAGCCAGTATGCCCCAGTGCAACAAGCCTTCTCAGAGGTGATGAAGGCTGAGGAGATGCATCGTCAGGCCTTGGCAGAAGTGTGGCAAACTGCGGTGCCTCTTACAGGGCTGCTGGTTTCGAAGGCCAGTCACGCGAGGGAGGGTGTATGTTCCTTCTCCTTTTCTTTTCTTTGCTGAACCATGCTGAAACTGATCAATATTGGTGAGATGTTCAGGTGATGGACAGCAATGCATTCATGAAATTGAGCATTTACGATGCCACAGCTCTGGAAGAAAGATTAGTGGAGCAGGCCAGGATCCATGTAGTGTCAGGGTCTAAATCTAAAAGCCGGTGACTTTTGCTTGCCGGTCGTTCCTTGTGGTCATGGTTTTTCCAATTTTTGTTCTGATCACGCGCATGTTATTTAGGTGCGCTGCCCTTTCGCGTCTTCGTTTTTTAGTTTTTGTTCTTCAAAGTTCGTTATGTTCGTTACTGTTCTTCGTGTTCCTTTTGTTCTTTTCTTTGTCGATATCAGATACGATTTTCTTGTTTGCTTGCTTGCACATAGAATCACATGACTTTTTGCCTCTGTCATCTCTAGCTAGCTTTCTTTTGAAGCGTCGAATTGGTACGAAAAAGCATGGAAAGAGATGTTTCTGAAAGTGCGCAGGTGTAGCGTTCTGTGAGGTCGGCGTCTTTAGGAGAAGCACATACCAAACAAATCTCACAAAAGCGCAGGTGTCACGCAGCCATGGCAAGTTGTTTGCTGAAGACCATCACCGCAGGCAAAGCACTGCCCAGCCGCAAAAAGTGACTGTGGGACTCCTGTGTGGCGCAAATTGTAGCTAGTGTAAGTGTGCTGAAAGAGTCTCGTACAAGATTAGTTTCCAGCACACGCAAAACTACGCCAGAAGAGTCATGCGCAAGCTGTTTGCTGACCTGGCCTATGGCTTTTGCTTTGCTTCATTCGTTGCTTTGCCACGGCCTTATCAGTGGTTTCTGGAGTAAGTTGCTGTTATTCTGTGAGGGTGCAACGATTGGATTCGCGCGCTGGTTGTTGGACATTCCTTTGAGGCCAAAACCAGTTCTTTTTCCCCAGATAGCTGGAAGCTATAGGGGTTCTTACTTCTCAATGGATGGGTTCCGGATTGCGGAAATTGGCTGCCGCTGCCGCCTTGTTTCCCAAGCTTGTCTCCCTTCATGATTCGCTCTTGGCCGCCGCTGCCGTCTGCCAAGCTTGTCTCCGTTCATGATTTCGCTCTTGGTTGCCGCCGCCGCCTTGTCTCCCCAAGCTTGTCTCCCTTCATGATTTGGCTGCCGCTGCCGCCTTGTCATTTTCTTGCTTGCGTTTGACGCGGATGCTGTTATAAGATGATTTAGGTCTTGTTTACCTTTTCCATCCTTTTCCCGCTTTGAGTGGGATGTCTCCCAAGCTTGTCTCCCGCTCTTGCCATGGTGTCCAACTTTTCTTGAAGTGCTATCTGGGGTCTATGCCGGTATAATTGGTTTTGGTCAATTTGTTTGGTGACTTCCCTTTGCTCGACTGACTTGCCCTTGAGGGCTGCCAAAGTTGGAGCCGGGACAAAATGGAGGCGTTCACCAAGCAAGCAACGAATGAAAGCCTGGAGACGGGGTTGTTGGGGCAGACTGCACAGCAGCTGGGCTTCCTCTTCCAGGATAATTGCCTTGCTTGGCTCCTGAACATTAACTAACCCTGCAATGCAATACTCACAAAAGCTTCAATTGAACCTGTCTTTCTTTTTCTTTTGTAGGGAGAAGGTTGAGATTGCTCAATTGCCTTGGTAGGTTTGGCTTGTTTGCCCTTTCTTTGAACTCAGCAGGAGCTGCATGTTGTGAAGGAACGCCTCGCAGAGATTCCAGAAGAATGGGAGGCGGTTGGTAGCTCAGAATGCGACTTCGACGTAACCTTCGCAATGTGGATGTTTCTCCAATAAAGTCAGGGAGCCATTAAAGGTTTTGTTGATTGGTGCACTTTACTGGCTGTTCAGGTTGACCAAAGCATTCTTCGCGTAAATCAAGGCTTCGAGGAACCCATGTTGGCATGGCTCAGCATAAAGTAAACATACTAATGATTATTGTATTTGCAAGAATCAAATTGTCTTGCATATTTTGAACACGTTTTTGATTTTTGAGTTCCATTCGCGATCCTCTGCCAGGAGATTTTGAAGCTTCGCCCATCGCTCGTAAGGAAGCTGATGCAAAGGTGTAGTGTCTTGACTTCACGAGTACTTGCACATGAGTTGCCAAATAGCAAGTCTTGCAAATTTGCGCCTAGAGGAAGGAATTGGTTTTGGTTTGCAGATTAGAGCGTGCTTCGATTGGACAGTTATTTTGTTGTTTGGTGTGGGAAGAAGTCTTGCATGCCGCGCCCATGCTTAGGCTGCCGCTTCATTCGTTTTGGTTGGCCTTCGTAAATATCCCTGCGCTTAGCTTAGGTCTAAAGCTGAAGATAGAAGCCATTACAAATTCCACCAGGCACGAGCTTCATATGTTTACTTTTAACTTTAAAAACATACTTTTGCTTTGGTTCTAACATCTACAGCGCAACCCCAAATCTTCAAAACCCCGAAAGGCCTGAGCTGCGTCCAGAAGGGATGTTGGCCAATGAGACGTGACGATGCAAAGGAACCCTGCGAAGGAACCTAGCGGAACCCAATTGTGGTGCTGGGTATATTGGATTGTATCATTTGCCCTAATTGGTAACACATATGAAGATTTGTTATTTTGGGCAGGCCGCGATCTTTTCAAATTCATGGGCTTGGTACGTTGCAATGTTCTTTTGATTAGAAATATGAAATCCAAAGAAGATTCTCAAAATTTCTTCATGAATTAATATTAGCAATTTGAAAAAAATAAATAATTATATAGATATAATCGAAGATAATTATAAATATGTTTGAATTAATATTTGATATGTTTATTCTTAAATTGGTTATTAAGGAACGGAAAAATTAAAAATCTAAATTATGATTATATTGAATTATAAGGGCCATTTTTAGCTTAGACTCGATTTTTTTTGTTATAATTACGTTAGGGTTGGGTGTTTTTTTATGCTAATGGTTTTTTTTCTTATGCTTATAGCGGGGTTGGTGTGTTTTTGGGGTATGGGTTTTTTTTATGTTTATAGTGGTTTTTTATGTTTATAGTATTTTTTCTGTTATGTTTGTAGTTCTTTTTTTTATGCTCCTGGTTTCTTTTTTTTATGCGGAATTGTGGGAAGAGGTTATGTTGGGGGGTCTTAGTGTAGAATATAATTGTTAGGAGGGTTTAATATAGAATGTAATTGTCGGGAGGCTTTAGTATAGAATGTAATTGTCGGGAGGTTTGAGTATAGAAAGTAATTGTCGGGAGGTTTTAGTATAGAATGTAATTGTCGGAGATTTTTTGTACCGAATATAATCGTCGGGGAGTTTTAGTATAGAATTTAATTGTCGGGGTTTTTAGTATCGAATGTAAGCGTCGGGGTATTATCGAATATAATCGTCGGGGAGTTTTAGTAATTATTTGATTTTAGATTTTTTCTGCTTAATATTGTATTGCGTGAAATTAAAAAAGATATATTCGTCGTTGTTCGCGCACTTATATCGTAAGAGGGTGTTCTAAGTTGATTGATCTTTTGGTGAGTTATCCGAGGGTAAAATTTAAATAAGGATGTTGATATTTATTTTAATTTGATTTAAGGATATTGTTTTTCCAAGTTGATTTATCCTTTGGTGAGCTATCCGAGGATAAAATTTAGAGAAGGATGTTGCCATTTTAACTTGACTCACCCTTTTGTGGGCAAGGCAGGGGTAAAATTTAAAGAAGGAAGTGGTTATTTTAAGTTGACTCACCTTTTGGTGAGCTATCCGAGGGTAAAGTTTAGAGAAGGATGTTGCTATTTTAATTTGATTTACCTTTTTGTGGGCAGCGGTAAAATTTAGAGAAGGATGTTGCCATTTTAACTTGATTTACCCTTTTGTTGGTAGAAAAAAGTTAGAGAAGGATGTTGTTTTTTTAAGTTGATTTACCTTTTGGTGAGCTACCCGAAGGTAAATTTTAAAGAAGGATATTGCTATTTCAACTTGACTTACCCTTTTGTGGGCAAGGCAGGGATAAAATTTAGAGAAGGATGTTGTTCTTCCAAGTTGATTCACCCTTTGGTGAGCCACCTAGGGTAAAATTTAGAGAAGGATGTTGCCATTTTAACTTGATTCGCCCTTTTGTGGGTAAGGTAGGGGTAAAATTTAAAGAAGGAAGTGGTCATTCTAAATTGACTTACCCTTTGGTGAGCCACCCGAGGGTAATTTTAGAGAAGGATGTTGCCAATTCAACTTGATTTACCCTTTTGTGTGCCATGTAGGGTGTTGCCATTTTAACTTGGTCACCTTTTTGTGGGCAGGGGTAAGATTTTGAGAAGGGGATGTTGCTCTTCTAAATTGACTCACCCTTTGGTGAGCTACCCGAGGGCCACCCTTTTGGGGGCAGGGTAAAATTTAGAAAAGGAAGTTGTCACTCTAATTTGACTTACCCTTTTGTAGGCCACGCAGGGATAAAATTTAGAGAGGGAAGTGGCCATGCCAACTTGGCTCATCCTTTTGTGGACCCATGCAGGGGTAAAGTTTAGAGAAGGATATTGCCATTTCAATTTGACTCACCCTTTTGTGAAACCATGCAGGGGTAAAATTTAGAGAAGGATGTTGCCCTTGGTGGGCCACCCGAGGGTAAAATTTAGAGAAGGATGTTGTTATTTCAACTTGAGTCACCCTTTTGTGGGCAGGGTCAAATTTAGAGAAGGAAGTCGTGATTCCAAGTTGACTCACCCTTTGGTGAGCCATCCGAGGGTAAAATTTAAAGAAGGATGTTGCCATTTTAATTTGACTTATCTTTTTGTTAGCCATGCAGGGGTAAAATTTAGAGAAGGATGTTGCCATTTCAACTTGACTCACCCTTTTGTGGGCAGGGTATGATTTTGAGAATCCTTTGGTGACCCTCGGGTGGGTAAAATTTAGACAAGGATGTTGTCATTTCAACTTGATTCACCTTTTTGTGGGCAGGGTACAATTTAGAGAAGGAAGTGATCATTCCGACTTGACTCATCCTTTTGTGGGCCGTGCAGAGGTAAAGTTTAGAAAGGCTTTTGTGGACCATGCAGGGGGAAAATTTGGAGAAGGATGTTGCCACTTTAACTTGACTCACCCTTTTGTGAGCTATGCAGGGGTGAAATTTAGAGAAGGATGTTGCTGTTCCAAGTTGAAGGATGTTGCCATTTCAACTTATAGCACAAAACATACAACGTCAGCGGCAACACTCTCTGAATTTAAGACCAAAAATCGCAACAATGTCATTTATAAAAATAAATGCAAGCCAACGGACGGAATTGATAACGGAATGGGAATATGTTTTCTTTATGCTAAGGTTCTTTTTTAATGCTGGATTTAGGTGTTTTTTTTAATGCTAACGTTCTTTTTTTGTGCTCGAGTTGTTTTTTTGATGCTGAGGGTTTCTTTTTTATGCTGAGGTTTGTTATTCCCCACATCTCTGTATGGGGTTCTAGTTTTGTTGGCTGCCATCCCGCCCGCATCCGCCCTTCCTTCCTTCCTTCCTTCTTTCCTTCCTTCGCTCCGTCCTCCTCGCTCCCTCCTCCACTCACTCGGTCGCTCGCTCGCTCACTCAGTCACTCACTCACTCACTCAGTCACTCACTCACTCACTCAGTCACTCACTCACTCACTGACTCACTCACTCACTCACTCACACTTTCAGGCGTCTGCAGAGACTTCGTCACTCACTCACTCACTCATTCACACCACTCACTCCATCACTGACGAGACTGCAGAAGGGCCTGCAGTGTCCAGAGACTGCAGAAGGGCCTGCGGCGCGCGTGGTCGCCGCTGGGCCGGCTCTCTCCGCAGTGTCCAGAGATTGCAGAAGGGCCTGCGGCGCGCGCGGTCGCCGCTGGGCCGGTTCTCTCCGCAGTGTCCAGAGACTGCAGAAGGGCCTGCGGCGCGCCTGGTCGCCGCTGGGCCGGCTCTGTCCACAGTGTCCAGAAACTGCAGAAGGGCCTGCGGCGCGCGTGGTCGCCGCTGGGCCGGCTCTCTC